CATATTATTCATGCAAAGACTGCGATGTTTTCATCAAGCAGAGCTTTCCAGATGAGTCGATATTCCCTTACCACCTCTAGCACCCCCTTGTGCAAATCCAGACTGTGAGATTTTAGAATGTCTCCTGGACTGGTGCTTTTTATGCCTTGATGTGCACACGAATCACCTGGGGATCTTGTTAATGCAGACTCTGATTCAGTGGGTCTGGGCTGGGCCTGAGATTCCGCATCTGTAAACATGCTCCCAGGTGATGTTGACGCTGATGGTTTGTGGACACAGGGCCTTTGATGCTACCTCTCCCTGTGCACGATCTGTCACTCTGTTAGGAGAGTGATCATAGAAGTGCATTCTGTATCTCCCACTAAAGTGCAAATCTTGAAGATCTGAGGCCATGGTCTAATGCATCCTAAAACTTCCTGTCGCAGCTGAGGTGAGGCTGGCTGCGGAGGGCTCTGATGAGCATTTTGAGCTCCCAGGTCAGTGGGCAGAAAGAGAAGTCACAGCTGCTGCAGAATTGGGTTGTTTCACAGCCCTGGGGTGGCAACAGGGTCAGGGGGAGACTCCCATCCCTCAAGGGAGGAGGGCCCAGGGTCTAACAGTATATGGGTCCAGGAAGCTCATCGAGGTAAGAACTCATTACTGAAAGGAGGGTGTCAAGGCTGGGTTAGCAGCAGGAAAGCAGCAGCTGTAGCAAAGCTTTCACGTCACCTGCCCAGGTACACGGTCTTCCAGTAAATAGCTGAGCCCTCATTGCAACATCACAAATGATGGAATGTCCTGGCCTCCTCCTGGGGTATTTTGCAGATGTCCCCAAGATGCCTGTGCACCCACCATCCACACAACAGCTGGGTGATCTTTTAAGAATATAAAGCGGATTCCTTCATTCCTCTGATTAAAACCCATTTAGAGCTTTCCACTTCTCTTGGGCTAAAACACAAACTCTAGGGGCCCTGCATTCCCTGGCCCTGCCCACCCCCCCCATCATGGTCTCATCACTGTCCTCCTCCTCACTTACCAAGCCTCAGTCACTCTGCTGTCCCTTCTATTTTTCAGACATGCCAAAGTCACTCCCACCTCAGGGCCTTTGCACTGGCTGTTTTTCTTCAAGTGTCATCACTGCTTCACCTTCAAACACTTTGAGCAGCTTAAAGGCAAGGTTTAAACAGCAAAGCAACTCCAAAATGAGGTAGAATCTTTTGATTTTGTGGATTTGACATGGATTTACTTTTCCCTTCATTCTTACCCAGATGAAGCTTGGAACAGTCTGACACCTTCAGGGGCATGGGAACTGAAGCTGAGAGACAAATGGGACTTAAAGCACGCTCAGATTTTGGGGTTGGAGGCAGAATTGTCCAAAGATAGATCCAGAGGTTGTGATTTAGACTCGTGGGAAAATAAATTTAATCTTGACAGTAATTAGACCTGCTATATTTAGCAATGACACTGTTATAATAATGAAACACTTCATCCCTCCCTTCCCCCCACTGTTTTTTTTTTTTTTTTTTTTTTTTGCCTTTTGAGTTTACTGAATTCAAGCAAGGTTGTGCACAGGACAGCATACTGCATTTCTCCTCCATTTGTGCTATCCTATTTTTCTTTGTAACAACATACTCTTTTTGAGGCCAGAAGAGGGTGAATTTTAATTTATGGGTTTCTCTCTTGAAATTACAATCAGAACCTAACTTTAAAAACCAAATTGGTTTCATCTAATTAAATTTGGAAATTGCCTCATAAAGACACGCTTTGTTATAAATGTCTCTAAAAGCAAAGTTCCCCGCTTACTATCTGGGGCTGGGTTAGGCTGGGCCCAGCGTGGAGGGGAGTCTCCCCATCTCTCTGCTCCGGAGGACACACTCCCCTACCAACTGGCAAAACGTTCTAAAGAGGAGTGTTTGCTAGAGCAGCACTACAGATTTTAATGCCTGAAGGAATCACCCGGGCATCGTGTTACACCGGAGATTCTGATTCAGGACGTCTGGATGGGCCTGAGAGGCTGCATTTCTAACCAGCTCCCAGGGGACGCAGCTGCCGCCAGTTCTTGAACTGCACTAGGTTGCAGCAAGCGCCAAGACTTCCCATCCGAGTCTAGGAGACATGGGTTTGTCATCTTGGCTGTATGACCTTGGTCTTTCATTTCACCTCTCTGCTCCTCATTTGTATGTAATGATAACAGCTAACATTTATAATGTTATTTCTAAATGCCAAACACTGTGCAAAACACGTATTTAGTCTGATCTTCACAACAACCTTATAAGGCAGTTTTATTATTCTCTTGATTTTTTTCAGATGAGAAACCTGAGGTTCTGGGAGGTTACAGGAGGCATGCAAGGTCACGGAGTAAGTAAATGTCAGAGCTGGGATTCAGATCTAGGCTGTCTGATCTCCACAGTCAACATTCGTACCTTCTTGGGCCTGGATAACTTGTGACACACATGAGCACAGTCATGTTTGTGCTCAAAATACAATGGCCTACAATGGCATACAATCTCCTTAACTCCCTTCATGGCACCCGTCAAGAATTTTTGCATATTCTCAAAAGGTAGCCTCAAATGTTCACAAACAAGTGAGCCAGCTGCAATACTCTGGCCTGGTTCTCTGTAATCATAGCCCAAGTAGCAGCCAAGAAGCTACTTGAGGGTATCTTGACATACCAGTCATTAGTAGAGTCCATCATGGGAGTGCCAACATCCCATGTGTCTTTTAAAATTCACAAAGCACTGGGTTCACACAGGAGTGAAAAGAGTGTGCTGTGCCCACCCACCTCTGTGCCTGGAGCTCCACAGAATGTGCCGTAGAATGATGCCTCGACTTCAGGAGCTTTTGCTCAAACAGGGCATCTAACACAATAGTTGTGTTTGCACCCTTGTTCTCCCTCTATTTCTTTCTTCTTATCATGGAATAGCAATGACGATATTGCCAGTTCAGTTCCATGTATAATCGTACTAGAGGAAAAAGTATATTCCTTCCAAGGAAGAAGTCTGTGCAGAAATATAACTCCACCTGCAGCATGACCTAGACCAATGGTTTCCGAGCACAGGTGGGTACGAGGACCAGGGCCTTTTCATGACAAAATCATCATCAATCCAAGGCAAAGTAAGAAAAAAAATAAAGTGATTGCCATGAGTTAGTCATAAAGCTAAATTTATTCAATTTGAAGGGCTGCCTTTTATTTTGAAAGTATATTCTTTTTATATTTTTAGAGTTATGTCTTTTATTAAATTATGTTGATGGTAAAAATGGTAAATTACCCTATCCTAATCCCCCAAAACCCTTTGAAATGTTAGTGGCCTGTGAATTCCAAAAGTCCTGAACATCTGGCTTAGACAGCCTTTTATATAACAGTACTAAGTGATTTAACTCCCTAAATTGTGGGTCCTTTCCCTCTGCTTTACAAAGAACAGACTGGCACACTCCATAGATCTCTATTTCATTTATACACGAGTATGATCGTGGTCTCCACTTTACAAAGAATAGCATGCAGCTTTGAAATGACTGGATTCTGTTCCAGTTACATTTCTGGTCCCTCTCTTCCCCGACAAGACTCTGAACACATCCTCGGCAAGGTGTATCGGTGCGAGGCCATCTCTGCCTCGTGGAGCCTCCCTAGGAAGGAAGCCTCTCTCAAGCCTGTGGCTGGAGAAGGCACATAAATGGTGGGGACAGAGGTCTGTTCCCTCCCTCATGTACTGATCCTGGGAGCTGCACCAAGCTCCTTGCAATGTCTGAAATGGGGACGTTAGATAACTCTTCTGAGCAATGCAAGATTTAGTGAGTCAAGGTGTTTTCTCAAGCACCTTGCATGTGTTGGATAACCTCTTCCCTCAGAGAGCTCTGAACACCTTCTAAGTCTTTCTAGAGAGTCCCATCAGATTAATCCCATTTCTCCCTCATCAAATACCCACTGACCTCCCTCCCCGGAGCTCACCTTCCCTATGCCCCAAGCCCACTCTCCAGGTGCACGTTTCTGCGTGTGCACTCAGTGGCTTAAGCCCTTCCACAGGTCCACGTTTCAGCCTGGGAGTGCTGGTGTCTTTGCCTTCCTCAGAATCCCCGCGGCAACGCTCAGGCAGAGATTACCACCTTCATTTTACAGATGAGGAAAAGGAGGCTTAGAGAGAGGAGGAACCTGCCAAAGGTAACTTGAGATTATTATGGCAGTGCTATTAGGACACTGGGCTATGCCATTCCAGCCGCGACATCCACGCCCTTCCCTCTGCGTTGCTGTGTTTTTCTATTTCATCCAGTATTGCAATCTCATGTTGTCTAAGAATACAAGGTGTGGAAGAAGGGTCAACCTTTACCTACATCCCAGTACTTGAATCTTAGCTTCATCAGTTTTGTTGGAGATGTTCTGTTTTGTTTTGTTTTTTATTTCGCAATGAACTTTTATATACTTTGTTTTAGTTTTACAAGTTTTCAGGAAGCCGTATTGTGTTGGCTTGATGGCTAAATTCCTTTCTGAGTAGATTCTGTTCTGTCTCTGATAGGATAAGGCCCTGCTAATGCTTGGAGAGGAGCTTTGGACACTATCACCTGGGTGAAAAAATATATCTTTGGGCACAGAGCAATTTAAATTTAACAATCCTTTACCCCTGTGGCAAAGGGTCACCTTGGGGTTCTTTGCAAAGCCCAGGGGCTGGTATGGGTGGGCTGAGTACCATGTGGGTCTGCAGTTTCCCAGATGAGCGTTTACCACTGTTCGCCAGGCCTGGGTCAGGAAAACCTGACTCTGTGAGTTCTGGCTTCTTTGTGGAAGAGATCGATTGTCACCATAAACACCTCTCTGGATGATGGCATGTCCAAATTTCTTTCTCTCTGGGGCTATCAAGACAGCTCAGTTGTGTGCCCTTGTGTTTTCTTCCCATTGTACTGTCAGAAACCTTTTGACAAGTTGTGTCTCACTCACCTTTATGCCCTCGATGGAAAGGTATTCACCAACTTCAGGCTGAAGTGACTTGAACAGTGTTAAGCCAGTGCCGCGGTGCAAGGGGCTGCCTTACCTCATAGAGTGTGATGACCCCATTGGTCTCATTAGGAGGTTTCCACTGGATGTAGATCTTCTCCTCAAAGGGACCTCCTTGGATGGATTCTAGAGGAACAGCTCCTGGAACTACAGAATGGAAAAGGTATGAACTTGGTGACACTTTCCATGTCATTCCTCCAACCCAACTGACCGAGAACAGGGTTGGCAGAGTTTCTATAATGGACCAAATAGTATTAAACAAATATTTTAGGTCTGATGTGCCATACTGTCTCTGGTACACCTACTTAACTCCACCACTGCAGCAAAACAATGGCACAGATAATCCCTAAATAGTATGGGCGTGGCTGTGTTCCAATAAAAGTTTCTTTCAAAAACATAGGCAATGGGCTGGATTTGACCCATGAGCATTGGCTTGCTGACCCCTTTTCAGAAGGCAGATCAGGCTTTTCATCTGTAGCCTGAGCACGTCTGTTCATGAACTGAACCAGACAGTTGTGGAGAGGACATTAGCAGGCCCCAGTTCTACTAGCAAGTGGGAATCTGGACTTTGCTTTAGGATTGACACCTAAGAGATGGAAAGTAAGCTTCCCCATCATTTTACTAACTATCATTTTCCTAACCCTGCCAAGTTTTCCCCAACTGTAGGACATGCTTCCTCAGTTTCCTGACAAATTCCTGAATCCAGCAGGAACTGTGTGCCTTGAAACCACAATCCAATTAGAGGCAGCTTGCCTTGCTCCAAGAAGGCAGCCCGCTTCCCTTGCTGCAGAGTTCCCAATGCCTGGCATGGGGCAGACACTTAATAACTATTTGCTGGTTGGATGAATAAGCGAATGAATGACTGATGCCAGCATTTTGCCCTAATGAGCACAACCTTTCCTGGGGCTGCTTCTGTAAGCAGGTCAGTCTTCCCGCCAGCGTCTGCCTGCTGGACTGCACCACCCTCACAACTGTCTGAAAGATGCTGAACCAGAAAATAAAAATGATTCCCCAAACTTTCAGTTATAAGCCCCTAGGGAATCATGAGTTCCTGTAAATTATTGCCAGATCTATTTATATTTTGGCATTATCAAAGCAGGTACTTTTACTAAGCACTTGCTCTTTGATGGGAATTTTACGTACATTATTCCACTTAAGCCACAAAACAGCACTGCCCAGTATGCAGTATCTCCTTTGTGCCAATCAGGGAACTGAGGCTGAGAGAACTAATAATCTGCTCAAGGTCATATGGCCTTTAAGTTGTAAAGAGGGAACTAAACACCTGTCTATGAGCTTTACAGCATATACTCTTAATCATCACGCTATGCCTCTCTACATATAGCCTCGGCCATATGTTGCAATCAGTTCCCCATTGTTAAATTAAAATATACTGAGTTTTTCTCATTATGGACATGATACGCAGAATTCGTTGAATATTAAGAATCTATGAAAGGGTTAAGAACAAAAAGAACAAAATCACCTATAATCCTCATATTCAAAGATATTTTTCTAGTATTTTTAGGCACATAAAATACATACACATATGTTATTTTTAAAATATAGAATATGCCTATGCATATATATTTCTTATTTGTAAGAATAACTTATTTGTAAGAATGAACTCCTACTGTACATATTGCGCTGTGACCTTCTTTTATCACTAAGGAAGCCGCAGAATAAAAAAGAAAATCCTTAGGTGTTCTTTGGGGCCATGCATTTTAATGGCTGCTTAGAGGGGTAGGTGTCTCTTTATAGTCACGCATCCTTTATTATTGGGCATTAAAGTTGCTTAAATTCTTCATGATTATGAGCATCCTTATAAGTAAGTATTTGCATGCAACTCTGCTGATGTCCCTAAGAAAAATGCTTGAAAATTAATTTACTGGGCCAAAGTAAATGAACTGTTTTATTTTTAAGGCTGTTGACACATATCACCACATTGCTTTCCAGAAAGTTTGTACCATTCTGGACTCGCCAACAAAAGAATATGTCTAGCCCTTATCCTTGCCAACACCAACTGTTTAAAACTTAAGTGGTGTGTGTGTGTGTGTGTGTGTGTGTGTGTCTTTTTTAGAATATTGGAGAATGTGGATTTTGTTTCCAGTTTTATTAGCCATTTACACTGATTCTTTTATGAACAAGCTCAATACCCCTCATTTCCCTATATGGCTCTTCGTTTTTGCTCATCTTTGTTGTATGGGCTTGTAATTGTAATCTCCTTTTAAGGATATAAGATTTCTTGTGTAGGTTGCAAATATTTTCGCCACTTTTTCATTGGCTTTTTAAGTCTTTTAGATATGTAGAAGCTTTTAATTAGTGAGATCTCTTATTGTTTTCCCTTATCCACTCTTCCTTTCCACAAATATTTATTGTGTATTTAACATGATCAGGGGACTGAAATGGACACTAGGGATGCACCAGGAACAAGGAGAGACGTAGTCAAATGCTTGTTAAAGTTCTTATTCTGGAAAGGGAGGCAGACATTAAATAATTACACCCACAATTAATTCATTACACTTGTTATCAGGGCTCTGAGGTACAGGGATGTGGTATTAGGAGAATTATAACAAGCAGAGAAGCTCTAGCATACCAAGTTAGAATATGAAGCAGCACATGCACCGGAGTTGGTGGATATTAGAAGTTACTAGGGTGAGAGGGGGAGGAGGTGTTGAAGTATTGTGCATAGCTTTGTGAGTCCAAGGGTGGAAAGAGAAAAGTCAGAAGGTTGTTGTCGCCATCCTGGAGAGAAAGAGCAGTAGCTTGGCCCACAGTGATGGCAGGGTAGAAGAGAAATGGACAGTGAAGGAGATTCAGGTAAAACTGACATGGCTTAGTGGTAATGGGTAAGGGTGAAGTAGGGAAAGGGTGTGTCATGGGGAACCCCAACTCTTTTTGTTTTATACAACTGTGGGATCAGAGTGTTTGTACGTAGGAAGGGAACCTTAAAGGATGACCAGTTTTGGAGAGGAAGCTGGTGAGGTCAGTTTTTGGTCATACTTTCCATTGGAGGCACATGGAGAACATCCAGGTAGCAATGTTGAGTAGCAGGTACATGTAGGAAGACAGGGGCCAGTGTCTGGAGATTGAAACCATGGGCAGGAAATAGATGGGAAGAATAGATAGCAGAAGGAAAAAAAAAAAAACAGGTCTAGGACTAACCTAAGAGGAACTCCAATCTTAACATTAGGAGGAAAACAGAGAAAATGGGAGGCAGAGTTCAGAGAGGCCACTGGGAGGGGAGCTGCCACTGCAGCATCCGAGGAAGGGAACAGTCTTAGGAAGGGATTGGTCAACGTGACTGACATGGCTGAGTGAGCAAGTGAGATGTGGCTTTAAACTTGCCCGTTGCATCAAGTGACCTCAAGGTTGCTTGTGCCCCAAGCAAAAGTAATTTAAGGGAAAATGTTGGTTCACCAGCCATCCTGAAGAGGGTTGGGAAATGAGTGGGAGGTGAGGTGAGCCAAGTAAACAAGTAAACAACTTTTGCTATGAAAACGAGGGGAATGCAGAAAAGAGCAGGATGAGATATGGAGTCAAAATAGCAACCCCCATCACAGATAAGAGAGGTTATGGCATGATTCAAGGCACCAGGAAAAACCCAAAATAGAGGTAAGAGGAAGAAGGGTGGGAAAGAGAGGGGTAACTGATATTGGTAGGGTCCTGAAAAGGCAGGAGCAGGGGTGGATTGAAAGAAGGTACATTTCCCTCCGTGAGAGGAGAGCAAGAAAATGTGAAGATGCATTGGAGGGAGGTGTTTAGGGATCCTAATGGCTTTATTTTCTTGAGAAGTGGGGGGTGAAGCCATCTACCAAAAGCATAGTGGGAAACAAGCTGCATTAAGAATTTGAGAAGATTATTACTAATTTGCAGTCCCACCAACAGTGTATAAATGTTCCTTTCTCTCTGCACCCACACCAGCATCAGTTGTTTTTCGATTTTTCAATAGAAAAACATTCTAACAGGGGTAAAGTGATATCTCCTTGTGGTTTTAATTTACATGTCCCTGATGATTAGTGACATTGAGCATTTTTCATATGTTTATTGGCCATTTGTCTATCTTCTTTTGAGAAGCCTCTGTTCCTGTCTTTTACCTACCTTTTAATGGGATTGTTTTCTTTCTTGTTAATTTGTTTGAGTTCTTTGTAGATTCTGGTTATTAGTGCTTTATCAGATGTATAGCTTGTAAATATTTTCTCCCATTCTGTAGGTTGTCTATTTGCTTTATTGATTATTTCCTTAGCTGTGTAGAAGCTTCTTAATTTAATCAAGTCCCAATTATTTATTTTCATTGTTGCTGTAATTGCTGTTGGGGCCTTCATCATAAATTCTTTGCCTAGGCTGATATCTAGAAGAGTTTTTCCTACATTTTCTTCTAGAAGTCTTATGGTTTCATGACTTACTCCTCAAGGAACTAAAAGTAGACCTACAATTTGATCCAGCAACCCACTACTGAGTATTTTCCCAAAGGAAAAGAAGTCATTTTGTCAAAAAGACACCTGCACTTGAATGTTTATTGCAGCACACTTCACAATTACAAAAATGTGGAATCAATCCAAGTGCCTATCAATTTATGAGTAGATTAACAAAATGTGGTATATGTATACGTAGAAAAAGGATGAATTAAGGCCTTTTGCAACAATTTTCATGGAACTGGAGATTTTCCTAAGTGAATATTCCTATTTCCTAAGTGAATTTTCCTAAGTGAAATATCTAAAGAATGGAAAAACAAATACCGTATATATTCGCTAAATTAGAACTAGCCAATGAGCACACATGTGCACAGAGGGAAGTAAATTTAAGTGGAAATCAAGCAGGAAAAAGAGGGAAGAAAAGGAGAGGAAAAACCTACCTAATGGGGACAATAAACACTATCTTTGTGAAGGGCACACTTATAATCCTGACCCAAGCATTACAAAAGTGATCCATGTAACCAAAAACATTTGTACCTCCATATTATTATATTTTGAAATTAGAGAAAAAGAAAAGATATCTGCACTCCCATGTTTATTGTAGCACTATTCACAATAGCCAAAATATGGAATCAATCTAATTGTCCATCAATGGATGAATGGATAAAGATTATGATATATATATATATAGTGGAATATTATATAGCCACAAAAAGAATGAAATCCTGCCGTTTGACA